AATATTTTAACAATATATTTTTAATCTTCGCTGCGCAACGCGCGAGAATTCGTCTAGTATTCTAATAAATGAATAAGTTTATTCTCCTATTGACAAGTATCATACTATTATAACTCTTCATTAATATTATATGTCACCTATCATGCCATTTGTCAACCTATTAATTGTCAATTTTAAATTTTAAATTTTAAATTTTCCACTCTAATTACATTAAATTAATAATTGATTATCTATTTTAAATTTTAAATTTTAAATTTTTTCACTCTAATTATATTAAATTAATAACATTAGGTTAAAAAATAAAATAAAATTAATATAGATTATAAGGTGATATAACTTCACCTATTTATTTATATCAACGATTATAATTTTATATACTAAAAAAATATCTCTTAAGTAATAATTTATTTAAAATAATTGATTAAAAATTTTGATTTTTTACTATGAAAGTTTAATTAATTTTAAAACCGTAGTTCTCACGGTTATAAACTAGTTTAAAAAAGTGAATAATAATAAATAATAATAAAAAATTCGGACACGTATAATCAACTAATTATGATTTACTGATTTTGTTCCTAATTTGTAGGATATTTCATGTAAATAAAAAGGAAATATTCGATAGTTCACTGTAAAAGTTTATGTCAAAATGATTCTTTTATTAAATAGTAAGTAAATAACAGTAAGATAAGATTAGATAAGATCCTTATGGTTCAATCTCCACATGTTTCTCTGTGATTTTTAATAGTCTGATCATTTCATGGTTAAACTTTATACTAAAAATGTTTTGGCATAATTACAAGAATAAAAAGTTTCAACAAAGAAACAATAGAAAACAATTTCCGAATTTCTCTTTGGTTGTAAATATATATATAGTAAAACAATATCATGAAAAAGCTAAATTGAGCCATGAACAAGATGTAAAACACAAAAACTATTTCAGTTATCACACACAACTGATAAAGACTGTATACACGCTATTAAAGATTGATTTATTATAAAATTATACCATATTTTGTCCTTATGGAAGTTCAGATGGATACTATTACAAGGTTGATGTCAACAATGAACTTTTTTCTCAGTAATTACTGAAGATAAGAACAAAAGTTACACAATCACAATGTGACATACCATTAAAGAAGAGAAGTATATACAACATCAAGAACTTATGTGTATTCTGTCAAATTTTCCTTACACCCTCTTCCACAAATCATTTGTCAAGATCTTTGGGTTTCTTTTTGTTACCATAGATAAGCCCAGTTTCCTACATAATCGAGGAATTCAATAAATTCATGCCGGATGCTAGAAAGTAGAAATTGGTATTGAACAGGTGAACTGAGGCGCAAGAAATTCTTGAATTGAGGTTAACAATTAATCCTACCTGAGGATCGGGTACCGGTTTTACTTTCTCCACATATCGATAACGATCTGATGCTGCTGCAAGTGCTGCCCTCGCCTACACAGAACCAATCAGCAATTGCGAATTAGTATGAATTTCAATAAGAAAGAGAAAGAATAAAGAGATTGGAATTTTACTTCTTGCTCTCGTTTGAGCTCTTGTGCTGGCTTCACCCATAGAAAGTAGGCTAGGGTTCCGGCCACTACCCAGGATGCTAGGTTGCTTCCTCCACGGAGACCACCCATTGCATTTCCGAAAGCCGATCGGACATTCCCAAATGATTTTCTCCAACCACTACTCATAATAAGAAGAGTTCCTTTGAAATCGTGATTGAGCGAGCTTATGAATGTGCTGAAGTTAATTCATTAATGGATGATTTCGCATAAATGCTCAGGCTCAAGCCTGAATGACTGATATGAAAGCAACCGCCTCCCAAATTGGTTGGGTTTTATGTCAAAACGACATCGTCCGGTTTGCTTTTTTTTTTTTTTTTTTTTTTTACTGAATTGGTGCATAAATGGACCTTGATGTTGGGTTGGTGTGTATTTAGTTACGTTTGCCCAAAATAAAAATATATTATTAAGAGTAAAGTGTAGTTTTGGTTTTTTGTTACAATCTTTAATTTATTTTTTATTGCCGATTTTTGTGTAAATTTGTTTTATGTTGATCAAAAAGACTCAAACCAATAAGCAAACCCCCCCATCAAAAAAGGTGAAAGTGAATACTATTCATCCACATGCTAAATAGAGTGATATTTATATTACATGTTCATGAGTTTCTGTCTTTTAAAACTTTTGAGGAAGATAAGACGATTGAGGTTATAGAAGATGACAGAACTTTAAGAATTTGAAGATGAAGTTTCTCTTAATGATTAAAAATTTGCAACGATAAATTAAGGAACTTAAAAACCTAAAATTTAAAACTCAAATAAATCAAAACATGATTCACACACCTGACACCACTCACCACTGATGGACAACTCTATCAATCTATTGAATCAATTCATCAACCAACTTCAAAAAACAATCGAGCAAATTCAAGAAAGATTGAACATGAACAAAGCCAAGAGCATAAAAAAAACACATGTTTCTTAATATAAATTTTGATGAAATAGCTATAGTTATTCTATATTTTATTTTATTTATATGTCATTTTGGTAAAAGAAGTATTCTATTTTAATTTTTGAAAATTTAACAAGTAATTGGAATAATTGCATATTTATGCAATAATGTTTCATATCTTTCTCAATTTACGCAACTAACATTATTTTTTATTTTTTTCTAATTAACAACATTAGTTTTTTCTAATTTTTAATTTTTTTTACATAATATGCAAGGACGACTAGAAACAATCGATAGCGTAGGTATTGGGTGATGCATGAATCTAACAAGATTGATATAGAAAATGAAGAAAATAAAGCAAGATGATGTAAGCATAAAAAATAGTTACAAAGTTGTAAGCGTATGAATGATACTACCATGTTAGTAATTGTAGATATTGTATTTATTTTTCGTATTTCGTATCTTATAAAAAATGGAGTAAATTAAAGAAATGGTCCTTCTAGTTTGGTCGAATTTTTATTTTTGATCCCTAAATTTAAAATTTGATAGGTTACATCCTTGTGTTTGTAAAAATTGTAAAACAGGTTATTGGTCCATATTTCTCTTTCTTTTATATATATATATATATATATATATATATATATATATATATATATATATATATATATATA